TATTTTTTTCTACGTTCATGCAATAAACACAACTTTATTGAACTATATTTACTAGAAAAAGTGGATCTTTATTGCACTAGTGCAATAAATATTTATTGCACTCATCTGTCATTATAGTACAGCGGTTTGTGATCAAGACAAACATAAACATTCAAATGAGCGAAATATTTAGTCCTTTTTCTGTGAGATTGTAATACGTTTCAAAGAATTGCGGATTTTATTTTATTATCAATCATATTTATTATGTACTGGATTACGAAATTACTAGAAAATGCATTTTTTTCTAAAATGCCATATGATTACAATTTATAAACACAAACGTAAATGCCTCAAACATACGCGATCACGACTACTATGATTTGGATAATGCAAGTCTGCAATTCTAGAAATGTCAGTCAAATATTAATTTTGACATTTAAACAAAGTTTAAAAATGAGTGATATTATTGGAAAAATAGATGATAGTGATGAAGAAGAATTTGTTGGGACCCCACCAGAAGTTAGTGAAATAGCAAATACAGGGTCATTAAACTTATTACCTAGCAAATCAAGAAAACTATATGAAAAATGTTATAATCGTTTTAAAGAGTGGTGCTTTTTTATTTTTCTACATATTCTATTCTAAATAAAACATTTTTTTTCCTTGAACGTAGAAAAAATATTGTATGCAACTCGTGCAAAAAGTGTTTATTGCACTCGACGTGTTGTCAAACTCGGCCTAACGGCCTCGTTGGACAAATTCACGTCGCGTGCAATAAACACTTACTTTTTGCACTTGTTGCATAAATAACTATTATGATACTAGTGTTAAAAGTGAATTATTTTTAGCACTAGTGTTAAAAGTAAGTCATGTGATTTACCTTTAAGACCACTGTTATAAAATCACACTTTAGAAACTGTCAGTACACGTTAAAAATTATACAAAATTATAAGTTATGGATATTCAACAAGTATACCTTTTTTACGTAAAATGCCATAAATTTTTATAAAATGATGGAAAATTTGGGGTATAGTGGAACAAAAATTTTTTTTTCTAGAAATTTTGGTGGGGGGTGCTTTGCCCCCGGGCCCCTATAATTATTATCGAGGATTTCATATTATCATCCAAAGCAGCTTCAAAAATTATAGATCCAGCCAAAAAATTTTCAAAATTTATTGAAAAATACAAAAGTTACAGCAAGAAAAACATTTTTAATTCTCAACTTCAAGAGGTAATAACTCTACAGGGTGAGCCCGGAGGGAACATTTTTATATGAACTTGTGACATTATTTTCTCATTATCTATCCATATCCGAGAGATTGCCCACCATTTCCGGGACACCCTGTATATACTAATATTTCTTTGAAATTGAAAATAACAACATAAAATTTATATATTCGTGATCATCCTGATCAAATTTCAAAATAGAGGGTTCTACTTTAATAACATTTATTGTCTTTTTAAACAATATCATAGTGCTAAAATCTTTATTTCAAATTAAATTATTTCTGCATAGATTAAACAGTTAGTTATTCATGCTTCAAATCAGTTTTGAGATTTTTAAACTGAAATACAGTCTGTTTGATTATAAAGGTCCCGAGCTTACTCGGTTACCCATTTTTGGACACCTCGTAGTAGTAAGTATTTCTTTATACTGACGCACAAATCTGTTTTTCGTCACACTATAAATGCATAGTGACGTCATCGATATTTTTTTAAATGGGATTGTATACATTTTTTAGCACGTTTTGATTGATCTTTTTATTTTATTTCCAACCGTATAGAATTTGTTACCTTTGCATAACGAAATTTTTAAGAGAAATTGAGAAAACTTTCAGCCTTTGACCTTAATTTACGGTGCTCGCTTTCTAAATCATTTCAAATAGAAGGAGTCGGAAAACAATTTTGCATACTGCTATCTGTCACATATCGGTCACATGTTTCCAATTGTTGTCCCCTTTCAAGTTTAACTTATAACAAAACGAATGATTTTAATGAAGAAGTTGATATGCTGCAGGTTCTTTATGAATGTAGAAAAAACAGTGTTGCTGCTTTACAATTATATCGACAACGTTATCCTTACAGAATTTCCCCTATCAGAAGTAAGTTTGAAGCAAATCTAAGACAGTATGGTAACCTAAGGAAGAAAAGAGTTTCTTTCGGATATGCTTGTGAAAATCAAGAATTTACTATTAATTGTGCAAGAATATCCGCTTCTATTATTCTGCATTCCTTAGGTCTACGAATTGAAGATTGTTGGATCCTCTGTTGCCCATCGTATTAAAAGCTAATTAAATTACACAACGTATTTAAACAATTATTTAAAAAAAAAATGGTTTTCAGGGGCGTCCTTTAGGGGCCTGAATCTCCGTAGGAGGGTCCTCTAAGGAAAATTTTTATAGAAACTGGTCATGTTATTTTAACGTCCCCTATAAAAATCCGAGTGCAAATTTCATTGCATTGCATTGCACTAAAATATAAAAAAATCTTAATAAGAAAAATAAGAAAATCGGTTGTGGTATCCTTTAATGTTAAGTCCTGAAATTTGAGAGCTAATGAAAAAAATGTTTGTCTGGGAAACAATAGATTCATTCAGCACGTATATTTTTTTAAGAATACATTCAATTCAATAAAAATTATGTATCTTTGTGAAGCAATTACTATTATTAAAAAGAACAATTCAATTTATCCAAGTGCTTCTGGTAATGTAAGTATGAATAATAAACACCTTAATGAATTAGAGTCATGGCTTCTGTGGCACCCACATCGACTGACATAAAACAATGGCAAAATTTGTGGGTGGTAAAAATTCTGCAATTTCTTTCGACGACCATTGGACTATCAGTCCCAAACTTATTTCAGTACGAGGGTTTGTCTGTTCTATATGCAGGATATAGTCTATTGCTATGCCTACTACACTTGGCAACTCAGGTTTACTCTTTTGTTATCAAATATAGGTTTTATTCAATCATTTCGCTCACTGTGACAGTGCTCGATGTTTGTGTTGGATTTATTACTCTAGCGGCTAACATTTCCTGTATAACTTGCGCTATATTTCTCAAGAGACGAAAGATGGTAAAATTAACAGGCACACTAAAAATTGTAGAAGAACAGTTACAGAAAAAGTTTCATACTTTTGCGGAGTATCATGACACCAGTCTTCTATTGCAATTCATCGCTTTCATAACATTAGTCTTTATTTTAACTACTTACTACTGCACGTCACTTACCCGCCTAGCCGTTTTGAATGGTTTGGAAATTTCATTAATGATAGCAAATAATTTACAAACCGTACCAATAGCAATACTCATAATGCAAGTTCACTTTTGCTCTACAAACGTCAAATGTTTGTTCCAACTGCTACACAAGAATATGCAGGATACCTTACAACCTACCAAGAACCCAACAAATGATGTCAGCCTCATTGATCATTCAATTCCTGACGCAGTATACTTCTTGAAAAAGTACGACGTATTATGCGACTCCATAGATATGATGAGTGAAGCATTTGGACCTCAAATTTTTTTCATAGTGTGGGCTATAACAGTCAATATACTCATTGGGTTAAATGGCATATTGAAAGCTTCAATGATGGAACCACAGCAGTTGCTGATGGATATGAATTTCGTGGTGCTCATAACCGGTTTCATCATAATAAAGTACTTAGTAAGTATAAGTAATTTCTAGTCTTCTTATCTTCACAAAATACATATTTTACAGAGAAAATAATAATCATTTGATTCACTAACAATACCAATATATTTATAAATTTTATAAAATACTTTAACCGATCTTGAGTAACGTGATAAAGATTAATGTATATTTCCAATTTCCGAGTAAAAAGAAAGGCTTTTATCTATATTAGTAGACATTTGTAGTAAGAGTTAATAATTTATCACTGAAACGCTGTGACAAATTACTTTCAATTCACTTGATTAAAGTTTATTTAGGTGTTTCCAAGTCAACAGAAGCAAGTACTCACTAAAAATGTCTTCCGACTGGAAAGACTTAAAAATTGTGAAATTTCTGCATGTATATTCGGTAGTACTAGGCTTGACGGTACCAGAACTAAAGTCTAATAAGACATGGACAATTCTTTATGCCATCTACAGCATAACGTTATGTGTGTGGTTAGTGGAAGAAGCTGTAATGATGATACTTTCCAAAGTTACGACATTTTATAAGATAGTAACTGACACTATAAAATTTCTGGATATCGGCGTAATTCTTGTTTTTATGGTGACAAAAATCTGCTGTCGAATTTGGGCTGTATTTATAAAAAAGGAAAAAGCCAGAGAATTGGAACAACTGCTTAACGCTACTGAAAGTGAAATGAAGAAAAAGTTTAAATCTTCGGTGAAGTACAATGAAAGAAATTTGTTAATACAACTGATAATGTGCCAGCTGTTGGTTGTTGTTTTAACTGTACAACACTTCTCATCGATCTTATCACACTTTGAACTTACACTCGAACAAATTTGGATAAACATTATTCGTATACATCTACTAGTTGTATCTGTAGTTATTTTACAGGTAAATAATATATTATAAAACTTGTATCTATATCCTTAATATATCCCATATCCATCTAAATTCAGTTTCTTCATTATGTTGTACAGGGTGTAATTTTAAATGAGGGTCATTTTTTAGCAATAAAAGAACGTTTACAAATTATTGTTTGTTTTTTAAAAAAGTGTGTGTATCTAATTTGGCAATGCGTCAAAGACCTTCAATATTGACTTAGCTTAGGTAACTATACTACTAACATTGCGTAAAGTAGATAGGGGCACAATTAGGAAAGTTAAACAAAGTAATATTAAAAAGTTATCAAATTCTGAACAAAATACTGTCTGTTCCTACACTTTTTTCTTATTCATCCACTTTAGCAGCCAATCAGTGCTAGACACATAAAATTAATTCAAAGTAAACAAAACAGTAACAAAATTAAATCGTGAACAGTTTAAATTTAAGCAGAATCCAATCCAATTCCCAACACTTACGGAGGGCAAGATATTTCTTATTGCTGCCTTTAAAAAGCCGCTACGTGTTCCTATTAAGAAAATGTTTGCCAGATTATGGGAGGATTATGGGAGCTTCGAACGCCAATATGCTTTGTTAGACGGTGTTACGGGGGGTCGGTTACGGGGTCGTAAAAAAATATCTAACTGATTATTTTCTACTTCGGAACGGGTATTGAATGAGCATGAGAGTTGTTCCTAACCGTCCTTTCGCCCGTTTGTCCAGCTAGCTTTGATTTTCGGATACGTATGAGTGAGGGGGAGATGGTGTCATAAGGTAGGTGACGCGCGGTTGAATGTATGAATATGTGATTGTTTTGTGAATTTATTGCCTGGGCGCCATCTGTCTATTCGACAGAACCTGTAAGAATAGGATGTGCGGGTGTCTGGTTTGCCTAATGTAAGGGTTGGGAGCGTATTGTACGTGGAGGTCGGCGTCAGAGGTTAGCTCGGCGAAATTCCGGTCCACTGGGCGACTACACTAACACTTGAAAGAATGTGCATGCAAGAAATAATGGTTTGGGGAACGCCTGGATACGTTTGTTTAGTTAGAGTTGACGCAATTGAGACTTGAATGCTAATGCTAAGGTTTAGGTAGTTGAGACTTGAATGTGAATGCTTATTTTACTACNATTGATTTCGCAACCGTGGCGGGTTTTTGGTTTGAATTGGAAAGGTAGGTGAATATGATTGTTTCGCCTCCTTTTCAATTCAGCGGTCTCCGGCATATCCGTAGGTACAAGATTATGACTTCTACGAATATACGGAATATTCTGAAATCCTGGAGCTCGCTCGAAGGGTGGAATACGACAGGCTGTTACGGGGGGTCGGTTACGGGGTCGTAAAAAATATCTATCTGATTACTTTCTACTTCGGAACTAGTATTGAGGGAGCATGAGAGTGTTCCTAACCGTCGTTTCGCCCGTTTGTCCAGCTAGCTTTGATTTTCTGATACGTATGGGTGAGGGTGAGAGGGTGTCATAATGTAGGTGACGCGCGGTTGAGTGTATGAATATTTGATTGATTTGTGAATTTATTGCCTGGGCGCCATCTGTCTATTCGACAGAACCTGTAAGAATAGGATGTGCGGGTGTCTGGTTTGCCTAATGTAAGGGTTGGAAGCGTATTGTACGTGGAGGTCGGCGTCAGAGGTTAGCTCGGCGAAATTCCGGTCCACTGGGCGACTACACTAACACTTGAAAGAATGGGCATGCAAGAAATAACGATTTGGGGAACGCCTGGATACGTTTGTTTAATTAGAGTTAACGCAATTGAGACTTGAATGTTAATGCTAAGGTTTATGTGGTTGAGACTTGAATGTGAATGCTTATTTTATTATTAGAGCGCATCTAGTTGACTGAATGATTTTGATTTAATGCAAAATAAACATAGAGTTTTTTGGGTATGACGTGACTAATACTAATTTTTTTTTTGGCTTGACACTGTTTAAATTTATTGACTGCACAAGTGACTCGTAAGTTCCAGGGGCCCCGAGACTAGAAAAACCATGCGGCACTTACCTTTTGATGGCTTAGTAGATCTGGGTAATCCTGAAGAATGCTGGGTAGGTTATCCAAGAACACTACATCGAATTTTGTTTGCACTGCACTGGGATGTGGTGGTAGGGAAAGTCGTAGAAATAATAACACCTAGTTTTGTTTCTAATACAAAGGTACGAATGAACGTCGATCTGGTATCGGCACGAAATAAACCACTTGTGCTTTACTGAGCTTCGAGCGTGAATTAAGAGTTTTTGTTTTTCTTTGTTGCACCTGCACTTTCAACGTTTTTGTGTTTACGAAACCGAGATTGTGGGTTACGAGTTTGTTTAAATGCTGAGCGTTACGGCGTTAAATTTAGTTTTAAGTTGACTGGTTCAACTTGGAGAATTCTTTGTTAATAGTTACGGAAAGTAACGCTTGAGATTTCCACTAGTAATTTATTAATGGTGTTGATATAATCTGGTGAGATTACCAACGTGGGGTAGTTGAGTTTATGAGTTGAATAAAAGTGGTGCGCGCGTTTGCCACGGTACGATTTGAGCTCGAGAAGACTGACTGACTGACTGACTGTGTGCGCTCGGTATTTATGCGTTTGGCCGAGGTAGAGCTAGGCTCCTCCCCCTTTGGCTTGTTCGGCGTTCTGGCCGCTGATTGGCCCGTGGTCGCCATATAAATATGTAGCTCGCGGATTTTGGTTTATTTGTCTATAGGCATGCAAGAAGCGATGTACTTGTAACACTCCCCTCCTCGACGAGTGGTTTATTTCGGGTGGTTCGGTATTGAAGTGGGTTAAAAAAAAAATTTTCTTTTTTTTTTTTTCTTTTTGAAAGGTTTCGTCGCGTTCGACGTTTATTCGTTTGAGAGGATTTATTGAATCATACTGAAAAATAAACATAGTACAGGAACTTTCGGAACATAGTTCGCATTTAGACAACAACAAACAAAATACATAACATGCTAATCTAATAAACTTGGTAAAGAGAAACATAAATAGAATATTGCCTTTTAGTCTGGCTCATAGCCGACTCATATGTAAACTTTGACATATAAAACTAGGGAAATATGGCAGTCTTAGTGAACTTAAATCTAATGAACAGATCGGCTCAAATGGTCGCTTAAAGCGTTGCACAGCCTTGATTGATTTTTATTTACTAAATCTAAATCACTGTAGTGTCTTTGAGTTAGTCTTTGATACAGTTCGATTATCGTCNCTCTGGAGGAAGAACCAGTCGAAGAAACCTCCAGGTGGCTGTTTTTCAACAATAAGTTAATCGCTGTGGTCCACACACGAAGTCCCTTGACTCCTCTCCGGCTTGGCACCAGGTGGTGGTGGCGGTGGAGCTCTTCCCCATGGCTTCGCATTGACCTGTAACAGTAAATCAAACAAGAAAACAAATGAGCAATTGCCTCAACACAAAAAGAATCCTTAACTAGCATGCATTATTCTACTAGTGTCCATGTCACATTTCGTTGAAAAAGGATACAGACGTCGCGATGCTTGGCGGTGTTCACTTGTCTGGCCCTAGACAAGGCTTCCCTCGCTGCGTGTGCTAGTCTGGCATCCTCTTCGCTAATCTTCAGCGGCCTCGGGCTCTCCTTCTGCACGCTGTGGGACCTCGCGGAGGTCGTCGACGTGGAGACGCACCCAGTAACCGTCTCTATCGACGGTGTAGGTGGTTTCACCCTCCCGTCGTACGACCTGGTGCGGGCCTGTCCACTTGGCGTGGAAGGGATTCGCTGACTGCCCGGACCACATCCTTGTCATCACTCGCTCGCCTACTTGGAACTCCCGGGTGGCTTCACGCGGTTCTGGGAACAGCTTCCTGGCGCAAATCTCTTGCCTATTTTTCGCTTTCCGCAGACGTTCCTCGCGTGCCTCCGCGGTTCGAACGGCCTGCGGTGCTACTTCAGGCGGCACTGTCCATTCTCCAGGTCTCTTCAGCGTTGCCCCCATCGTTATTTCGCTCGGCGTCATCCCTGTGGCGGCGTTTTTCCTCGTTCGTAGCGTAAATAGCGTGTCCTGTAGATATTTATCCCACGTTGTGTCGGCGTTCCGACGTGTCCTTAATATTTTCTTAAACTCCTGCACGCGGCGTTCCACCGGGTTGGCCCGCTGGTGGTAGGCCGGTGCATAGTACTGCGAAATGTGAGATTTTTCTAGGTATCT